AGCCCATTTGTGTAGCTTTGTGCTTAATAACAAACAACAGCCCCTCCAGTAGCACAGCAGTATTTCTGCGGATTTACAACGCTAGAATCCGGGTTTCGATACCCGTGGTGGGCAGAGTAGAGATAGCCCATTTGTGTAGCTTTGTGCTTAATAACAAACAACAGCCCCTCCAGTAGCACAGCAGTATTTCTGCGGATTTACAACGCTAGAATCCGGGTTTCGATACCCGTGGTGGGCAGAGTAGAGATAGCCCATTTGTGTAGCTTTGTGCTTAATAACAAACAACAGCCCCTCCAGTAGCACAGCAGTATTTCTGCGGACTTACAACGCTAGAATCCGGGTTTCGATACCCGTGGTGGGCAGAGCAGAGATAGCCCATTTGTGTAACTTTGTGCTTAATAACAAACAACAGCCCCTCCAGTAGCACAGCAGTATTTCTGCGGACTTACAACGCTAGAATCCGGGTTTCGATACCCGTGGTGGGCAGAGCAGAGATAGCCCATTTGTGTAGCTTTGTGCTCAATAACAAACAACAATTGGTCAGTTGACTACTGTAATAATTAGTATCGAGATAAATGTGGGTAGTTTTATATAATGTTCATTTTGGAAATTCAATAGGCTTATCAAGAAAACTTCTTCTAAATTCCTTCTATTCAAATTTAATAGATTGTTTGCTCGTTGATGAGGAGAAAGTTGCAAAATGGGCTATCTGTGCTTTGCCCACCGCAAGGACCGAACCAGAATTTTATTGTTATTAAGCCATCAAGCTTACCACTGAACAACCCGAGGGGTGGGTGGGTGAGTGAAGGCACACAACAATTCAAACGATAACATAAAAATATTACAATCAAATTTATGTCTTTAGAATAACATTTGATAACAAACTGTGAGTCTAGCGCCCCAACCACAAAATCATTACGATAGCAATGAAAAAGAAAAAAATCACAGCTGTTACGAACAAGATAAAAATCACAACTAAAATGAACAAAATAAAAATCACAGCTATTACGAACAAGATAAAAATCACAACTATTACGAACAAGATAAAAATCACAGCTATAATGAACAAGATAAAAATCACAACTACAATGAACAAGATAAAAATCACAACTATAATGAACAAGAAAAATATCACAACTATAATGAACCAGATAAAAATCACAACTATAATGAACCAGATAAAAATCACAACTATAATGAACAAGATAAAAATCACATCTACAATGAACAAGATAAAAATCACAACTACAATGAAAAAGATAAAAAAATCACTACTACAATCAACAGAGTAAAATCACAACTACGGTATAAAGTTTCACCTGATCTGTCTGTCAGGCGAGCAGTAAGAAGTTTGAAGACAAGCCGTACCATTTTAGTGTTAGAATCGTCGTTGTAAAATTGAAGCTCCAACGTAATGAAGAAACAAGGAAAACAAATGAACTCACAATACAGATACTTGTTTTATTACAACAATTATTTTGTTGTCTGTTCTTAAACAAACACTTCACTGTAAACTTACTTTTACAAAACTAGAATATTTAATTTCGCTGTAAGACGACAATAAAACTAATAGCGAAGTTGACTGGACAAAAGCCGTCTCAAAAGTAAATGAGGGCCAAAGAGTAAGGCCCACCGGTAAAGAGGAACGAATAACTTCTCCATAGTTTCTACCAGTCACATCTCTGTATTCCCATGGAAATGTCGAGCTAATAACCTAAGAAGCTACAACGAGAAAACATCTTGTGGATACAGATAGTGTAGAAAAAGTAGCAGTCTGCAGAGAAACATCACTATGTCAAACTTGAACTGTTACCTTGTTCGTATTAGAGAAAAGCCACGTTGGGATATCTGCCGTGTCTATTGCGGGGAATCGAACCCCGTATGTTAGCGTTGTAAGTCTGTAAAATTACCGCTGTCCCACCGGGGGACTGAACCGTTACAAACAAATACACTCTGGAAATAATACTTGAATTTGGAATATTTTAAAAATTAAGTTATAGAAAGGCAAATATGACAGACTCCCCCCCCCTCGTCATTTCAACTCGTCCCGAGTGAGTTTAAAGTTAAATTAATGACCTGATTAAGTTTTACGTGGATTGAACTCAACGAACTAAATCACGATCTTAAGATAAATACTAACTGTTAAATCCTAAATCATCAAATATAAATATTAATAGATAAATTTATCCTACGTTTTTATTTTAAACAGAGTCCCCTCAGTGGCACAGGGGTATGTCTGCGGACTTACAACGCTAGAAACCGGGTTTCGATACCCGTGATGTGCAGAGAAAAGATAGCCCATTTCGTAACTTTGCGCTTAATTACAAACAAACTTTAAACAGAGTAAAACTTATATGGTATAACTTAGGTACAAATTCAACCCTGGTTAATTTGTCTCTATCTTCACCACCCCACCTCCCTTCTTGGTTAAAGAACCCCCAGCTTACAGTTGTAAATAATAAGTTATGGCTACAAGTCCTCCAACCCATCCTTTGTCTACTGACCATGCTGTTATCCGATACGATACCTTCATTCATCTTGTCGATACCTTTAATATGTTCCCCACAAAATAAGTCAGTTCATTAATCTTATAAATCGTTGTTCGCCCACCAATTATTATACTAGTATAATACGTTTACTCATTCAAGCATATTAGAGGACTCATGATTTAGTATATTAAAGTTTATGTTTTACAAGAAGAGAACGTAATGTTATTAAGACTATTTGGTTGACGTATAAAAGCATCAATTGCACGTTTATTCGACTGTATATGTTGTAAGAGAACATTAAAAGAGGTACAGAAAACTGTATGAAGGAATAAAATATCAAGTTCTAAAATAATAATAAAAAAAAACTGATGATGTTTAAACTGTTGATGAAGATTTGAGGAACAGAGGTAGAGATATAAACACTATCTTCAACATAAAAAAAGCATACACACAAACAAGTTGTTGTTTTCTTAGTGCAAAGCTACACAGTGAACTAACTACACTCTGTCTACTGCGAACCCAGGATTTTAACGTAAACCTAGTGCTCATACACCGAGGGACCAAACAGACTAGTGTCTCATAGATCAAATACACGGTCACTTAGTTTGCATTTAATCAGATTAGTTTATTTCAAAGCATTCAAGATTACTTTGAGAAAGGCTTTATTTAATACATTGAATCGACCGTATCACATACTTGATAGGTCAACACTAAATTACAAACCATACTCTGAATGCTCAAGAAAATGAAATAGAATGGTATTATTACAGATTGTAACAAAACAAAGTTTACCAACCACGTGGCCTCAAGAGTGACGCAGCGGTAAGTCTCG